CTATAATTGGTGCCACACCAAAATGTTGTTGAATGGTGTCATTTGTGATGTGGTCAAGAAGGGAGATGCTTGATATCTGATGGAGCATTCACATTTCCATGGCATGGAGATAGCTTTTGGTCCCTGTTGTTGCTGCTCAGCACAAGACACAATCCCCCCACACACATAAATTGGGGGGAGGGCATTGGTGGGATCAATCTGGTTTGGGCTGGTTCAGATGAACTGTTAGTTAAATTGCTGGCTGCCCCTGCCCCTTGCTGCCCCTTCCAGGAGTCCCCACGTGTACCATTTTGGCTCCCAGATAAGTGCAGGGAGGCCTACTAGGCCCAAAATGGGGTGTGGGGGTTGTGGCATCCCCCCATGGTCTGTTTTGGCTCCCAGGAGTCTTCAGGGAGGCCGCCTAGGCCCAAAATGTGATGCGGGGTGCAGCACACACACCCCTGCCCGTTTTCACTCCCAGGAGGCTGTAGGGATGCCTACTAGGCCCAAAACGGGGCTCGGGGGGGGGCGTGTTCTCCCTGCTGCCTGTTTTTGCTCCCAAGGGGGTGTAGGAGGCTGAGTGGTACCGGTCGTTAGGGCAGAAAACCAGTTGTTAAATTATTTGAATCCCATCACTGGGGGAGGGGGAGAAAAGACTTCCTTGAAATAGCCCCCAGTAGGGAAAAAGAAGGATGATTGGATTCAGTAACTGAGAGGTTATCCTTCAATCAGAGCCATCATTAAGGTCAAAGGACTACTCTTTCTCTATCGGTCATTGCACTAAAGACACATCTTGGCAAGGGGTGACCTTAGGAAGACCAGGCCTTTCAATAATTGAGTGAGTGGTGTGGAGATTTGTACAGAAAAAACAATTCGAAGAAGTAGCAGGTAGAATAAGAGGCCTTGGAAATTACAAGGAGTCTTCTGAACGGTGCAGCCGTGGTCTGAGCAGCAGTGGTGTGATTCAGCTGGTTCTGTCCAGTTCTGGTGAACCGGTAGTGGTGATTGCGGGAGCTCCACCCACCTGCCCGGATGTAATGCGTGAGCAAAGAGCATGCACGGAAGGCCATGCACAGAGGAGGCATGTGCCAGTGAAGCGAGCGCGTGCGGCACACACATTTGTGAAGTGTGGGAAGGTGAGTGAATTTCACCTCTGCTGAGCAGGTAATTTCCGTGACTGAGAGATGAAAAGAAACACTGTGCAAGATGTTGATGACGGATAGATAGATAGATAGATAGATAGATAGATAGATAGATAGATAGATAGGCAAGTAGCTAAATAGACCTATGATACAGAAGAGAGGCTATGAATCAGAATTGCCTATAATAATGAGTTGGTGCTGCCCAACAATAGTCTCTAGAAGGTACAATTTTCAGAACTGCCAGCCTAACATGGTAAACCAGAATAATATATCAATTATCTAACCAGTGTCTTGGTAGTGACTCTTCCTTATGTACTTCAAAGTCACATCTGGTACCCACTATAAGAATCTTATAAATGTAAATTTAGCTTGAAGATTGGCGAACCCAAGTTCAAATGCATCAGAAAGATTCCAAGTAGGGGAAAACTTGACATTCACCATTTTAGAGGACCTTCTGGAACTAATGAGCTAAATAATTAGCTTAGCCATAATAACATTAAAATATAACATCATGGCAAATGAAAGTAAGATAATATAGGCTGCTTCCTAAAACACAAAGACTTAATGTCAGGCAGATTAGACTCAAGACATTATTCAGAGTGAGACACCAACTGGTGTCCCCATTATCCTAAAACAGGGGGGTCAAACTCAAGGCCTGCAGGCCAGATCCGGCCTATGCGGTGCTTAGATCTGGCCCATGGGGCTGCCCTGGGAACAGTGAAAGACCAGCCTGTGGTACCTCTGCCAGCAAAAACGGAATTTCATGTCAGGGTTCTGACAAATGCCCTAATTAAATCATGAGCCTCGAGCCAAGCTTCAAAAGAAATCCAGTTATTTATTAGGAGCTTCATGTCCACACGTTCCCAAGTGAAGCCAGCTCTGACCCTACGTAATTTATGCCCCAATCATGACCCTGTTTCCCTCCTCCCTCCAGGATGTTTCATCAATCACATTCACCAATGGAGCAATTTCGCAGGTTGTAGAGATCACTTCCCTCCGACCACTGTGGGTAACCCTGGGATACAACCTTGAGAGAGATAAGTCTGGAATGTGCATCTGTCTTTGGCTGCTGTGCCGTTTCATCGCCCTTGCTTATGGCAACTCGAGAGCAGGCAAGGGATGCTTTGCAAGTTGACACTCCGTTTTCACTGGCAGAGGGTTGCAGGAGGCTATCACAGCTGAAAATGGAGCTCGCAAAGGCCACAGGCGGCTCTCCCGAGCTCCGTTTTCCCTGAAAAAGGGTTGCAGGAAGCCATTGCAGCCAGAAACAGAGTTCGGGGGCCTGTTTCCACTGGCAGAGCGCTCGGGCTGCCACAGGCGCCCCCAACACAAGTATCGTTGAGTTGGGCAGACCCACCCCAGCCACGCCCACCCCGGGCCCCCAAAGTCAGAACCCTGATGCGGCCCTCAATGAAATTAAGTTTGACACCCCTGCTCTAAAACCGTGCTGATCGTTTTAGCAAACGAGATAGGAAATCCTACAAGCCCTTTTACTTCTTCCTGAGAGGTACAAAATAGCCTGGGCATTTTTCAGCATCTCTTTGCAACTCTTTAAAGCATCCATGTGAACCCAGGGGGAAAAAATGTGGCTGTTTGAAAGAATGGGAGTCAGATCTTACATACAAGAATCTTCACGGCACCGAATTACAGAACCACAATTAAAACGACATCAGCTCCCTTTTACAGAATACGGAATAACAGAGTGGGAAGGGACCTTGCAGCTCATCTAGTCCAACCCCCCCTGCTGAAGCAGGAGACCGTATACCATTTTTTAAATAAGTTTTGATGATATCCAAATTGAAGGTCCCGATACAGTCCCCTCATTCTCCCTTATGCTGGGACAACAGTGGTTAAAATTGTAAGCTGTAATGCCATGGGCCCCAGAAAATGTACCAAACAGAAGTCCATAGCAGGGAAGAGGGAATTTACTTCTTTCTCTACTTGAAATCCTTTTATTCTGCTTTCCTGACAAAATAAAAAGAGAGAGAGAGAGAAAATGTATTTATTTATTTATTTATTTTGTCAGATTTATATGCCACCCTTCTCCCATAGGACTAGGGGCGGCTCACAACAATAAAAAAACCTGACAACAAATAAAAATTAAATAGTATTAAAACCAAATTAAAAATACCCAGATACCCAAATTAAAATCAGCGGCAGATCAGGGAAGTTTGTTTGTTTTATCTATCTATCTATCTATCTATCTATCTATCTATCTATCTATTTATTTATTTATCAAATTTCTGTACCGCCCTACTCCCGGGGGACTCAGGGCGGTGAACAACCAAGATAAAATACAGATAATACAAACATTAAAAGTCCATTAAAATTATTAAATATTTTGGCCGAAAACAAATTTAAAACACTCAATTTGTAAAACAGATTAAACGATTTAAAAATTTAAAAGGGAGAGTTAGGCCAGGCCAGCCTGCTGAAATAAAAATGTTTTGAGAGCACGACGAAACGTGCGCAGATCCGGGATCTGCCATGTCTTTAGGTCGGTGCGGAAGGTGCGGAGGTCGGGGGCCATCCGGAGCTCGGTGGGCAACCCATTCCAGAGGGTCGGTGCGGCCACAGAGAACGCCCTCGTCCTGGGGACCGCCAGCCGACACTGTCTAGCTGAGGGGACTCGGAGGAGGGCAGCCCTATAAACCCATAAACCCATCCCAAGATTAAAATAATTAAAACCCCAATTAAAAAGCATTGCGTTCATTTTAAACCAAGATCTAAACAATTGGGCATGTATTGAAAGTCTTTAAAAGCGCAATATATGCCTTTTAAAAGATCATTTTAGAAGGAGGGGAACCTATTACGACATCAGCTAAATAAGGCTAGCAAAACCCACAAAAACTGTGCTTCACTTTCTACGTTGAAAACAAAAGCGCTGGAAGTAACCGATCTTCAGGCACCAAGAAAATAAGGACCCACGACTGAAAATTCCACTTTATAAGTTAGAAGCTGATGCCGGTCAAGTTTTATATAAAGGGACAACTTAGGGAAACATTTCTCTAATTGGGCAGATTCCTATGGGAACAGGCTGGCTTTTCATTACTGAAAAAAGCATCCAGATGCTTTCAATGTCAGGTATCAAAAATCAAATGTATGAAAGAAGAAAAATTGCCGTTTCCTACCACCACATCCCTTTTAGAAAATAAACTAAGCTAACACACTGGGGGAATAAATTGACAAACCATCTTGTGTTGTTACAAAGGAAAAGAAAGGGGGGTGGGGGTGAGGAAAGAAGTAGGGAAAAAAATGACATCCATCCCTCAAAATCCATGGGGGAAGTTTTGCTTTTGAAGTCGCATCAATCTAGGGGTCTCCCTTCTCACCAATCTTGCCTCCTGCCCACCTCATCCATACCCCCACCCACCACAAAGCTTTGCCACCGGAGTCCAGGGCAACAAATGGCAATGTGTCGTGGGGGTTGGTTGATGTGTGTCTATTTAGTCTCAGCATAGGCCGAAATGCCATCATTAATTCATTACCCAGCTGCCTGTCAAATAAATTGGCAATTACACCCACCGCCGGAGCCTGGAATTTCAGTAAATAGCATGTTTCTGTCGATGGAGCCGTTGAGAAATGTTAAAAAAAAAAAAAAAGGAGAGGGGGAAAAAAGAAGGAGGAGGGGGAGGAAATTAAACAACGAGAACATGTTTGTTTCACTAGCAAAATGACAAGGGACGATGCTTGTCAAGGCAATGTTGGGAGTTTTTTGGTGGGGGGAGAAAATCTCTGTCTGTAACAGAGCCAGACAGAAGGGAGGTGGACCGGAACAGGTTTCAGAAAAAGGGAGAAACATGCAAACACACCGAAGGGTAATTCTCATTTGTCTATCTTTTTTTTCCTTTTTTTGTTTTTGTTTTTCTTTCCTTGCAGAGCTCCGCCCCTTCCAGCTTGGGAACAGGCTACTTTGTAAGTGGATCTCAACTTTTTAAGATACGTGTCATGGAACAAGTGTCAAACATGGTAATAATCCCAAGGAGGGAGATTTTGCAGTGGCTGGTATTTCAGCTGATGTGGACTTGGCTAATTATTTCCATGGCTTTCACCGGTTGCCCTGCAACCCAAAAATTATGACAATTGTTTTGAACAGAATCTTTTGTGTCCCCCACCAACTTCCTTTCTTAATCACCCTGTCTACCTTAACCCCCGTTCCTCCACCCCACCCAGTAATTCTGCCCTGGGGGTGGGTCCCTCTCCTCCTTTACTGTCACTTTCCTTTATATTGTTGACTTCTCCCTTTATCCAGGTTAATCCTTCCTTCTAGGACTTCAAGGGTCTTCAAGGGTCCATCTAGGGCAGAGGTCTTCAAACTTGGCAGCTTTAAGACTTGTGGACTTCAACTCCCAGAATTCTCCAGCCAGCATAGCTTAAAGCTGCCAAGTTTGAAGACCTCTGCCCTAGATGGACCCTTGAAGACCCTTGAAGTCCTAGAAGGATCTACTTTGGATCTAGGATCTACTTTGTACAAAACCAGTCTACTGTGACCAGAAGGCTGGTTTCATACATCACATTAGTCCTGTGTTAAAATGAGATTGGACAGTCAGAAGTTCAGTATTGGTTTATTTTACTTGGGGGGCGGGTGAGCTTTTATATGAAATTGTTTGACTTAAGTCATCACATTAAGTCATAATATGGGTTATCTGGGAGAGTGGGCATAGCATTTCATGTCAAAGGAGAACTTGTGTTTTGTTAACCCAGCTTTGAAATTTAACATGCTGTGTGAACCTAGCCAATTTTCTGGTGATATATATATATATATATGTATGCATCCCTTGGGAAAGGGATTTAAATACACTGAATGGATCTGAGGGACTGATATATATTCTACAATAGAGATAGATGCCTTATTACAGTAGATACCTCATTATCTCTTGGGATTTTTCCCTCTTCCTTGTAGAAATGCCTATCACTTTCCTGGCGGAGGCCACCAATGATATTTTAGTAGCTTATTCATCTCCACATTCCCAAGTATTCCATCTGCTCCTTTGATTAAAGTCCAGAGCCTTGATATCGCCTATGGATATAGGGTAGGATGTGGGCAACACATGTTCTTCTAGCTATACATGCTGATTGTCAAATGACTCCCAGCTCCCGTGTGAAAAATACAAGAAAAAGTGAGGTACAACTTATCAAGCAGTGTGTACAGTACAGTTAATCATGCATCTTTATTAAATGCAGTGAAAATAAGTTGCACAGGCTATCTAACCTGCTGGACTCACATCTGGTATTTGGCCAGGACTTTCCCAAATGGTCTTGAGAAAAACAGTACCAATTAAGATATGCTGTTACCTTACACCTAAACAAAAGAGCTAACAAATGGAACTCAATTTGTGTTTACTCCCATTACGGATTTTTAAATAAGTATTGTTCAGCTGATTGGAGGGTGTGTTTTTATACAATAGTGACATCAGTTTCTTCATTCTACATGAGATGTGTTAATTTTAAATCAGGTTTGAATGGAATGTCCTAATATAATACAAAAAGAGTGAGATCATTGGGATGTATGAAGTTCCCTTTGACAGATTTTCATACTCATTCATGCATGCATGCAATTATGTGGCCACCCAACTCAAACTATGTGACTAGGGAAAGGAGGGAGGGAAAGGAAGGGAAGGGAAGGGAAGGAGGGAGGGAGGAAGGAAGGAAAGAAGGAAGGAAGGAGAAGGAAGGGAGGGAGGGAGGAAGGAAGGAAGGAAGGAAAAGGAAGGAAGGGAGGAAGAGGGAGGGAGGGAGGAAGGAAGAAAGGAATGAAAAGGAAGGAAGGGAGGGAGGGAGGGAGGGAGGGAGGGAGGGAGGAGAAGGAAAAAAGGAAGGGACGAAAGGAAGAAACCATAACTAATTGAAACATATTAAACAACAAAATGGTGGACAGAACTGAAAACTGCCACAATCCTAAAATGACACTTCATAGCTCAGTTTGCATGAATTGATTGAAACTGGCATCTCAGAGTAAGACAGGGGGCTTTCCCAGCCTTATGCGATGATCTCGGGAAGTAAATGTGGTAGATCTGGCATGCAAGATTGTAGTGTGATAAAGGTGTTGGATTAGGATGGAGGAGACTTAGTTCTTCAAGGCCATTTCCAGACATGGATACTCACAGAGTGCTTACGGATCAGACATCTACTTCAGTCCAACCCTGCTACCTGCAGTTGCAATTGTGGAGTGAAACGAAGGTGCCTTGAGATTGTGGAGAAAAAGTAGGGACATAAACTGATGACAATGAAAGTGCTGTGGGTTCTCCATAGTGTTTCCCACTAACTGTGTGCTTAGAGCTATTTGGGATCCTCCTTTTGATAGAAATGAAACTATGTGAGAAGACCATCTCTTTATTGGAAAACTCATTCCTTCTCAGAGGTAAGAGCTGAGAAGGAGAAGCATCCAGGGGTTGATGACATCCAAGAATCAATGAGTCTGTCCTCAAATGAATAGAGTTTATTCATTTGTCTGGATACTGGCTTATGGTTGCTTGGTTATGGTTGCTTGGATGATGGTTTATATGATTATAATTCTTCCTGGTGGGAGTAAACAAATGGGCAGCTTGAATGGGGAACGACGGCAGAATAATTCATGTTGGAACCGAAGAATCTCAACTCACGGCATTGTAATTTCCACGTTGTTAGCCCTGGTAGATCCAAATGACATGTAGTCCTTGACTTATGACCACTGTTGAGTCCAACTAAGCAAGACAATTGTGAAGTGAATGTTGCCCCATTTTACAAGCTTTGTTGACACAGTCGTTAAGCGAGTCACTGAAGTTGTTTAGTTGGTAACACGGTTGTTAAGTGAATCTGGCTTCCCCATTGAGTTTGCTTGTCAGAAGGTCACAAAAGGGGATCACATGACCCTGGGACTCTACAACCATCATAAATACGAGCCAGCGGCCAAATTTCAATCACGTGACCATGGGAATACTACCGTGTGAAAAACTGCCACAAGTCAGTATTTTTCAGTGCCGTTGTAACTTCGAATGTTTACTAAATGAACTGTTGTAAGTCAAGGACTATCTGTACTGTGATCTTTCTTCTGACCCCGTGTAGGAGCCAAGACGGTGACACAGAGGAAGAAAAAAACAGCAGATTTCAATCCACCCGGGTCCCTTTTTCATCACTCTCTCTTTGTTTTTTATCTATTTATCATCATCAACTAAACATTTACGTCCTTCATCTTCAGCATCTCAATGCTGAAGGGACTTACTCGAAGAGTGAAACCTGTTCCACAAAAGTGATAGTTAATGTAATTCCGGCTCGGTTTTTTCCCTGAATATCAACAAATGAAGTTAAATTGACTTTCTATATATCATCTGGCTCCTTGACAGCAATGCCTCTTCCATCCACATATATCCTTCTGTCTTCAGTTGCTGAGGAAAATAAACATTTTTAGCATCCCAAGCCTGGTATAACTCCCCCGAAAGCAAGACGGGGTGTCAGTGACTACATCTGTCAGGAAATCTACAGACAGCTCAAGCTGTCAAGAACAGGCATGCTATGTGCTAACAACGCCTGGCTGTCTTTTCTTCACTCCCCAAGCTGGCATTTGCAAAGTACAAGACACTTGGTATGAGCTTACAGGAGTGCGCATTCACACACGCACACGCACACACACACACACACACACACACACACACACACACACACACACACAGAGTTTCCTCCCTAGCGGTCTCTGTTATGGATACATTACCTCAGAGTTGTGTCTGGGCTCTGAAGATCCCGATGAATTGCAAATACCAGAATGAATGTCATTAATTATTATTTTGTGTCTTTTAATGACCCCGTAATCCCTTGCATCGGGGTGGAGTCATGGTAACTGAATGGAGCTGAGTATTTACTGGCCGGATGCCCTTCCTGTCACCAATGCAGAGTTCACAGCTGTTGTGACCGAGGCCCAAGTAGTGATTACCAAACACAATTCAGTCCTCAACAAACTTATTTTATTAAAACAGCTGAGAATTAATTCATTCTCATCTTAATCAAAAACAAATTCTTCATAACCAGTTCCTTAGCCTTATCACCAACCTTTGATGTCTTTGGCAACCTGCCAAAGGCTTTTCTTGGCAAAAACCCCACAAAGTTCAAGAGATGCTGACAAGAAGCACTGGAATCAACATTGCTTTTCTACAAAGAACTCAATGGCTCGTTGCTGCTCTGTTAAGCCTTATGGGAGTGGCCAATCATCTTCTGGCCTTACTCCCAAGTTGTCCTTTTTTCTTCAGCTGCTCTTGCCTTCTGGCAGCTCTTCGCATGCGTGCACTAGGAACAGGCTCCTCCTCTTCCTCTGCCTCTCTGCTGTCCACCTCTGGAGGCTCTGGAGTCCATGTATCACTCCCAGATGGCCCTGGCCCCATCTCTGCCTCCGATGCAGAGCCCTCGTCCAGGTCTTCCCCTGACTCCAGGACTGGCCTGTTGTCCTTTTCAGCATAGCTTAATTAGCAACAAGGAAAAAAAAAATCTGCTCCAGCAATTTACCTCTTTGCAGCAAGCAGCAGAGCCCTGCCCAAAACAGCTGAGACCAAATCAGCTGAGAGTCGGGAGGCCGATGGAATCAACTTGTGCTAATTAGGATGTGCTGAAGCTGAAAGGAGCTGTTTTTTTCTTGCTGTTTGCTTGCAAGGAGGTAACTGCTGCGAGGCAGAGGCCAAAGGGTGGGGGCGGGGCTACATTTGGTGTATAAGACACACCTAAATTTTCACCCCCTTTTAAGGGGAAAAAAGATGCGTCTTATACTCCAAAAAATATGGTATATTTTCCATCACATCTGGCCACCGAAGTATATTATAAGAATAAGATCTTGCAAATGAAATGTCTTCACTTCCTGCCAAAAGGAAACAATTATGGCAATTGATATTTGAACATGAACAGAAAATGACGGTTCTTGGATTGTCCTGTGGTCCATGCAACTATGGAAAATC